GAAGGGGGCGGGGAAGACAGTAAGAACAGGAGACGAACACGGAGGAAAAGGCAAAGAGCAGACAGCATAAAAAGAAAGAGGAAACAAGCGGTGAAAACGGCAAAGACACAAAGGCAAAAACGACCAAAGAGCAAAACCAATGCACGGAACGAGGCTGAACCGGCCGCGGGGGAGACAAGCAGCAACACGAGCACAACAAGAGAAAGAGCTCAAAAAAGACAAGCGAAAAGCAAAGAAGAGCACAGCAAGAAGGAGGAAGGCAACAGAGCTAGAGGAAACAAGAGGCAACGGGGGGGAAAAAGCAAGCACCGGACAAACCACAGGCAGGAGGCGAAACGAAAAACAACGAAAACCAGCAGGCAAGGCCGGGAAACGAGAAAACAACCGAAGGAACAGGCGAACGAGGAGCACAGTCCCGCAGAAAAAAGTTCCACGGGAGAAACAACAGAGCAAGACACACCCAGCACACAAACACAAAGAGAGCAAAACAGAGGGCGAAAAATCAAAAAAACAAAAGAGAGAAGAGGGCAATAGGGGACACGCAACAAGGGGGGGGGGACAGAAGTAGAATGAGGAGGACGGAAGAAAACAAACAGAAAAAAAGCACTCACCGACCGCGCGCACGACAGAGGCACCGACAAGCGAAAGAAAGGAAAAACAAGAGGCGGTGGCGAAACGCGAGCAAAGATAGGACGAGGAAGAGACGCAGAGAGAACAGAACCCGAAAGAGGCAAAAGAAGCAAAAAGAAAGCCCAAACGAGCAAAGGGAAAACGAACAGGGACCAAAGCAGAAGAAGCGAGAGCGGAGGACAACAAAGACAAACAACGCAACAGACCAGGGAACAAGAAAACAGAGGAGCAGGGCAGAAGAGCAGACCGCGAGACGAAAAGAGACTACGACGAGACCAGGACGAAACGCAGCAACCAGCAAAGACGAAACAAAGAAGGAGGAGGGAAAACAACGAGGGAAAAGAGCAGCACGCCGGCAGACCAGAAAGACAGAAAAACACGAGAAAACACGACAAGCAGACACACAGCGACCACGAACGCAACCGAAGGAAGACCGACATACAAACAAACCGAAACGAACAACACACAAACACAAGGAAAGCTCCACAACCAACCCGACACAAGACCCAGGACACCGACTAGAAAAAATGAGCACAAATCCAAGATGGGGACCGCCAAGCGCCAAAGGCAAACCACAGCCGGTAAGCGCACCCGCGACGCCACCGCCCCACACACGACACACTCCCAACACGCCACGAACCACCTGGGAGACAGAGGCCAGCGACACACGCACTCCAGCAATCGCAATGGTCCCCCCCACCACACCCCCCCCCCCCCCTCCTCCTTCCCCCCTCCTCCTTCCTCTCTCTTCTCCCCTCCTTCTCTCCCTCCCCCCCCGTCTTCCCTCCTCCTCCCCCCTCTTCCTCCCCTCCTCCCCCCTCTTCACCATCCCCCTCCACCTTTCTTCTCCTCCTCCTCCTTCTTTCCCCCTCCCTCTCTCCCCCCCCTTCTCCCACCCTCTTCTCCCCCTTTCTCCTTTCCCTTCCTCCCCCTCTTTCTCCCCCCCCCCCCCTTCCCCTCCCTCTCCCTCCTTTCCTCCTCTTTCTCCTCCCCCCTCCCCCTCTCTCCCCCCCTCCCCCTCCTCCTCCCCCCCCCCCCTTATCGTAGTGAACTAAAACTGGCATTGGTGCTAAACAGTTTTTAGCACGAATGAAAGCGGACTGATGCTCATCATTCCACACCCACAGTGAGTTTTGTGTAGCAGTACGTTCAAAGGAGCTAAAATAGTTGATGCCCCCGTAAAAACGACGATAGTGTAATAACATTCCTAAGAATGATGGGGAGTTCATCGACATTCTTAGGCTGAGATGCCCATATATTTGGGGATACTTTATCCTGCAAAACATGCAGACCTCTTTTATCAAGTTTGTAGCAAGATAATAAACAGATTCAGACAAAAACTCACATTTAGATTTCTTCAGTTTCAATCCATTTGATTGCAAAACGTTCCAACACCGTCCGAAGCGCCTTTAAATGTTCAGCATCACTTCGGCAAAAAACCAGGATATCATCCAAATAAGCAAAAGTAAACGGTATATCCTTCACCATGTCATCCACAATCCGCTGGAAGATACTGGGGACTGAGATTATTCCGAAAGGAAGACGGGTGTACCGAAATAGTCCGTGTAGTTATGGTGGTCAATTCGCGTGTCCTCATCAAGTTCAACTTGGGAATATGCGTGACTAAGATCAAGCTTAGAAAATTTTTGACCACTGAATAACGCAGCGTACAAATCTTCGATACGGGGCAAAGGACACCTTTCCACCTTGTTAGCTTGATTGCAGTTAACTTATAGTCTTCACAGATACGAACGGTACCGTCGGATTTGAGTAAAGGAACAATTGGGGTACCCCAATCCGAGTGTTGTACGGGCATGATTACGCCTTCGGATTGTAGCCGTTGTAGTTCCACTTCAACTTTTGGACGCATAGCGTACGGTAACGTTAGTGCTTTGTAAAACTTGGCATTGGTGTTCTCCCGTAGATTGATGGAAGTTTTGGAATGTTTCAGCTTTACTAACTTATTTTCGAATAAAGAAGAAAATTGATTCAACAGATCGTTTAGACTGCTGTCATTGATCACGACCTCATTAATCTTCATCGTTTCTGGGAAGCATCGGATCCAATTTTTGCCCGAGAGATTTGGTCTTTTCTCAGGTACCACGATCCAAGGTAGAGTTAATTCCCGCTCGCCGTGCCTGACTCTAACCATACACTTTCTCAAGACCATAATCGGATCTCCCGTGTAGGTTTGCAATTTGGAGTCACATGGTTGTAAGAGCGGCAGACTCCTAATTGAATCACCGTTTATAATGGCAACTGCAGACCCTGTATCCAGTTCCAAATCGATCGGTTCATTCTCGATCATTAAACGAATGGTATATAGGGGCACTTGTTGGATGATACGGTATTCAAGTAGACGGAATCTAGATCGTTGTCTGGGTCTTCCAGAGCGTTTTTCCCCGTAAACGGCAGCTTATTATGGCGGCTCGATTGAGTGAGATTGGTTGGTGGGGCGGGTTCTGATCTACCCACGCGGGCTAGTTGGCCTATTTTACCACATTTTCGGCAGATGCTTTCTTTGTAGCGACATTCAGAAACATGAGCATGTTGCATCCTGCAACGATAGCACACGAACTGTTTTCGAGGTTCATCTGGAGTCCGTGGTTTAGCGTGAACAGCATCGACGGCTGGATGGGCAGTGAATTCACGTAGCTGGTGCGAGATATGCTCCCTTTGGCAAAAGATTAGACAAGCATTCTCCCACGTGGTATCTGACTCGTTCAGAGCCAACAATTTTTCCCGTGTGCTTTCGTCCAGGATCCCCGCAATTAAGCATTATATTTTCATTGCTTCTTCAAATTCATCGGGCGGTATCGCATTGTGTTTACACTTGGGAATAAACTGATGGATGTGTGCAATGAAGTCGTTGACGCTCTCGTTCGGTTTCTGTACAAGCTTTGAAAAGCAGTATCTCGCAGTATAAACATTCTGTTTCAATCCCCAAATTGTGCTATATTTATCCAAGGCCGATGTAATAGTGTCACAATTTTCCACATGTAGTGCATCATAATGTCGCTGGCTTTCATCTCCCAGCACTTGTCTGAATAGTCGTAGTTTGTGGGACTCCGAAAGTGAAAGCATAGGATTCAAAACAGGCAATAATTCCAGATAGTTAATAAATGATTTCTTCCACCTCATCCAGTTTGATAAGGTCTGTTTGTCCTCAGCAGAAGGCTAAAAGTTATCAGGTGGGTTAATGATAGGGTTCATCTTGATCCCGTCACCAGTAATACGTGGTAAGGGATTCAGGCAAAGCAAGCCCATAGACCGCAGATTGGCAAGAACAAGACAGAGTACGAAACAACGTGTATCGGGCGAAGCAGTGCGACATGGCTCACATGACACACGAGTTAAAGCATGAGTGAGGACCTATTGATTGGTCAATGCGAGGAAAGCCAATAAGAACGCGGTATGGCTGAAGTAATTAATCAATATCAGTGACGGATGTAACTCGTACTCGCGCTAAACTGTCTGACTCAGTTCGCAATCCAAGGCAGGCGATCCAACTTAGCTGACGGAATAGGTCCATCCTGGTGGCACGGTTGACTACGGCGCAGGTGTGAACGTGTGGCTACAACCAGAAGGTGGAGACGGTTAACACGTTTGGACGTGGCGTTAATCGGCTCAGGAGCGCACAGTCGCAGGGGCGCACTAGTGACCTATAAGTTTAATCATTCTCTGTACCTACTACACACCGGTCTAGTAGGTCTTCTCTTCTGTTTTTTCCCCGGCTAGGTTGGCGGCGTTCCAGCAAGAGAGCAGAGACTAGGCACCGTTACAACACTCTATCGGTTTTCCGGAATAGCAATGGACAGTCCATTCTTACAACATTTGCCATCAGTTACTATGCCACTGGGCATATGATCCCTTCACCTTGAACCATACGGAGTCCTCGACCCTAAGCGAACTAACACAGCGAAGAATTCAACAAGGGTCTTAATACTTAGAGGTTTCGATCAACGGATGCTTTCCCTTCTTCATCGGTTAATTGCATATCTAACACTGTGTCCCGTTTGTTTGTCAGCATCATTGTGCGGTTCTATGCTTCTGCCTACCAGACTCCGGCTTCTACGGTCGGTACACTTTCCCTTGTACACGGATGAGTGTTCCCCACGTATGCACCGAAGATATCACAATCCTTCTTCAGCAATTACCCGTGGATCTGATGGAATCAGGTCCTAACGTGTAGGATCCTCCAAACAGTGTAATTCACCATTCTATTCTGTCACGCCACTAGAGTAAAATAGGCATGCATCTAAGCGACCCGTAAGATATTCTTCACTTAGAAAAATGTTACACCTGCTATCCGTCAATGTACTGGGTTCGCCAACATCTGAGAATGCACCAAATGTGTTGTCCACTTTTAGCTCAGAAAATGTCTATTGCGATACATTTTACGTTTGGAGTGGCTTCTGTCTGGCTCTCGACGCTTCTTCGGCGTGGTTGTGGAACAGTGCGTAGTCATAGTTATCGACCTTTCTGGATCAATGGAGCCCAATGTGAATGAGATGAAAACGTGCTTGAAGCAATTGGTTTGGGAACAATTGTTTAAGTAAGTCTGACTGAAGTGTGCATCAGCCGTGCAACCTTAGACTCAAAGTTAGTCAAATAATTTTCAGCTGTCCTACCGATGCCCGAGCTTACCTGAGCTCTTACTGTTGAGTTAACTGGCAGTTCTGGTCCCATCCCCAGTTAGCACTTTTCGTGAAGTTCGCACAGGTCATCTTAAAATGTCCACTTACTGATCGGGATGGGAGTTAATGTGAACTCTCACATTCATTAAGAAGCTGACAATCTGCTATGCATCATCCTTTAGTTTAGATGCACGTCTCAGTCTTCATTGCCACTGTATAACACGAACGTCTTTGGGTGCAACCCCTGATCTGGAGTACTGTCTACAAAAGGAACCAGCCAAAACAGGGTAGAAACTGTGAATTTCAGCGATGCTACACTCAGCTGCTGTTGAAATGATTTATATTCGCGTTAACAAAACTGCGTCAGATACTGTCTCCCCAGAAACAATAATGCCTAATTCATGGGCAATGGGTGGTTTACGTTGTTGTGAGCACTGAGCACACTAGGCGCCGTTACCGCTTCGTTTTGCCGGTGGCACCCTAGATGCAAATTCCTAATTCATTTATATAAATTTAGTACTCTCTATTGATTAGTAGCCTACTGTACTTCACAATTGTAGCCACATTGATCAGACAGATTACTACGATTGACCACAGTAACTGGTTGCCCGTGCACTACACCGAATCCCAGCAAGAGTACTTAAGAATGGCATGCAGGCTGGTGTCAGTATCCAGCTTGCCAACCGCCCGTGTAGTTTGGTTCTTAGTGGCCTTGCCGATCGGCAGAGTGGTGAATAAGTTTACATTGTTCGCGATCGAGCTTGTGGTCAACAGACTAATTGACTAACTGGTTATGAGGTAGGCCACCGACACAAACAGATAGTGACTTGTGTAGTCATCTTTCGACAATACAGACAAATGGCGATAACTGTTAGATGGAGTTTGCATTTGATCGACAAAGTGGACCGATGTCTTATATCACGATCGATGTCTTAAAATTGTAGTCGGCAATCAGGATAATGTGTCAGCGTGCCCAAGTGAAGAGGTACTTTTAAAATGCAAATCGAAATCGCATGCTACTAGGATGGTTGCCCAACGCTGTAGTCTGTTTGCCGTGTGAACGGGGATTCCTCATTTGGTGTCAAAAATAGCAACGGTTTATGGTCTGTGTACAAAGTAAATTTGCGTCCATGCACCATCTTATGAAATTTCTTAACTGTAAAAGTGTAGTGACTGTAGTTCTTTTTTACTGCTTTCAACGCGCGAGCAACATGCATCACAGCCGTTTGATGTCCATTTGGAAACTGATGCAACAGTCACCACTGTTTTGCTATACATCAGCAGCGACAATTATCGGTACTCCTCGGTCGTAATGAGTTAAAAGGAGATCGGAGGGCAATGCTTGCTTAATGTCCTCAAAGCCCTTCTGGCACTGAGATGATCAATGCCACACTGACTTGTTCGGCAAAAGTGCATTTAGTGGGGCCCGGAGTTTCTATGCATTTGAGGGACAAAACTGATAATAGTTAACTAGACCCACGAAAGTCTGCAAAGAAGCTTTGTTCGTGGGGTGTAACATTAACTTAATGATTTTTATTTTGTTTGGGTTTGGCCGACAACCGGAATTGTCGATAACTGAGCCAAGGTATGTGATACTGGACATCATAAGCTCGCACTTCTCTGGACTTACGAGAAATCCATATGAATCTATCCTGGGAAATACTTCGTTCAGGTGGGTGTAATGGTCTTCAGTGGTGAAGCTTACAATGATTGTCATCCAAATAAGTCATGGCACACTGTAATCTGAATAGCATGGCGTCCATCACTTATTGAAAGATCTTTGGTGCACATTTTTCTCCGAAAGTTAAGGGATTGTAACGATGCAAGGGTTTATGAGTATTAATAGTGAGCAGTTCTTTTGAGCGCTCCTCGACCACTACTTGCAAGTATGCATCAGAAAGAACAACTTTTTAAAAAATTTTCCTCCATTAAGCTTTGTGAATAATTCCTTGGGAACAAGTAAGGGATATTGATGCGTTTCCAGTGCGTTATTTAATCTGGTAGAAAAATCAGCACAAATACGCAAACTGCCATTAGCCTTTCTGATGACTACAATAGCAGCTACCCACGCTAAATAGGTCACAGAACTGATGACGCCCATGGACTCCAGCCGACTAATTTCGGCATCCACTGCCTCAACGGAAACATATGGTTGTGGTCTTCAGGGACAAAATACTGGACGTACACCGGTACGCGGATACAACACAGCTTTTATCTTAGAAGACATTCCAAGACCCTCTGCAAAAGCATCGAGGTACTTTGAGGCAAAATGTGATAAAGCTTCTGCATTGTCTGTAAACATTACGCGTATAACCGAACAATGAACATTGGAGGGACACAGTGAAAAACTATATGGCTTATCACAAATACTGTTCAAAGGTGTGCTCCCTAAATTATGTTTGTCTATCCAATCTGTTCCTAACAAGTTCAAATGTCCATAACGTGGCACGTCGTGTCCAGTTGAAGCTGGACAGAAACACCGTTTATCACAATCGTAACCTTCCGTTGTGACTGATAGTTCGGGCTAGTGGTTGTAAAAACCACATCTGAAATGCAACGTTGAAAACTTGGAGTTTTGGCGAAGGTTCGTGACGGCCTTCCAGTGGCTGTCTGCAAACATTTGGGTTCCTTATGTCCCGTATTCCCAAAACACTTGCAAATATATCGTTTGAATTCACAAAATCGAGCGAAATGCCACTGATCACAATACCAACAAGCACGGCGGACAGCCGCGGTGTGCGAAGTCAGAGAGACGTACTGAATTGTGCGATGGCCTGGGGCGTATAGGAATAGCATGAACAGCCACCGCATAAGACTCGTTGTGCCGTTGGATCATTTCTGTGTCATGCTTCGGTGTCAATATATGTTCACATTTCTGTACCAGCTCCTGTAGTGAGACTTCTGTTATCTAGGCTCCAACCTAGATAACAAACGTGTTCGAATTTTTTAGAGAACTTAATCCTTTTGTTGAAATGAGCACTTTAAAATGATCTCTTGTGTGTTAAACTGAAAACGTTCACATTCTCTGTTAACAGCAGCTGTATAAGTCACAAAATCATCCTCCTGGTGTTTAACAATTAGAAAACATCGGAAACGTGCGTAGAAAAATAATATTTAGGGCAGAAAATCCTGGTCAAGGGTTTCCCAGGGTCGTCCAGTGATATATCGCATGGGTTTTTGGGTGGAATGTAGTTAGAGTACTTTTCATATTCTTGTGGACCCAATTCTTCAAATGAAGACACACTTGAGCTGCATCGCCCAGCCCACTTCCATCAACTTTTGACAAGCCTTCATAGCGGCGAAACCATGCTTCGAAAGTAAGGTCATCATGCGACTGGTAATGGAATTCTGCCATACTGTGCGCCAGCTTGTCTGCGGTGGAAGCCGTTGAGTCTGTAGATGCTATGAACAATGCACAGTGATTTATCACGGGATAAAAGCAAGTGCTTTACACCTCCAATAGGATGGTTGGGGTAAATAAGATGTAATCAAAATACATGTGGGTCATCTACCGAGCGTCTGCTGAGATGAATACTTTGATAAATAACAGTGTAAAGTATTAAAAAATCGAGTGTAAACGTTCAGAAATACACTGGGGTGCAGTGGTCGTTGATATAAGGCGTGAGAAAAGTAAAATATGAATCCTGTAGGAAAACATGATTGGCGTAATTCACAATAGAAAAGTTTAGGTAACAAAGTGCTGAGAGCTAAGAGCAACATCTAAAACTTTTTGGAAAACGTTCAACTTAGGTAGGATACAACTGAGTCTGGGAGTGCATTCCACGATTGGCAAACCCAAATGGAAAAGTAATTCCGTCGACACTCTAGACGGCTATATTATTCCTTCAGTTTCAAGCAGTTACCCCTGAGCTGCGTGTTGTGACTGTCTCCGCAAGTGGCGGCATACCTGGTTGGGGTCACTCAGTATTTGCTACGTCAATATGAGATCGCCGTGCAGCCTTCGGTAGCGTCCACTGAAAATTCCCAGCAACTTCTGCCTTCGGTGGTAACAGTGATAGCGCAGGCCCTTTACATCCTTTGTTGCTGTTCGCTGTGTTGCCTCTAACGTCTCCAGGTCGCACTTCAACCAAGGTTGGCAAACTTGGATAGGGTAATCAGCATGCGGGCGCACGTAGGAATTGTGCATCATTTGGAAGCTTGATGGGTCATATCTCCCGAATGCTCTTCGCAGAATGTCGACATGTTGGTTGCCTCTTTTCGCAGCTACCTCAGCCCGTTTTGAACAGTTGAGGTCGCTCCGTACGAGCACCCCAAGGTCAGGTTCTTTGAAGCTGGCCTGCAATCCTTGTGTCCCAAGAAAATATGTGTAGTCATGTCTATGGCGTAATTGTACAGCGCGACAGTTGATTACGTTGAATGGTAGGGCTTTTTGAACTGACCAGTTCGACACCGTGTTAAGATCACGCTGGGGCCGTTTGTGGTCGTCCAGTCCTCTGATCCTTCGCCATATCTTGATATCATCAGCGAAAAATAGGAAATCGGAACTAATTGATCTCGCTAAATCGTAATGAACACCAAGAATAAACGAGGTCCAAGCACCAAGCCTTGTGGTACACCACACACCACATCAATTGCATCCGATAATGACTCTCGGACTTTCATCTCCAGCCATCGGTCGTGTAGAAAACTGCTAACCCCTTAGGATTGGGTCGCCAATGCTCTAGTTCCGAAGCTTCTGAAGAATAACTCGATGGTCTAAACGATCAAACACTTTTGATGAGTCCAGGTAGATGACATCAACTCCTGCTCCATCATCAAAGGCTTCAGTCCAGCTATTACGCGCAATTAATAGGTTAGTATTACATGAACGCTTTTGAAGAAAGCCATGTGGCTCTGGGGCTATTAAGTTGTGGCTTTCCAGATACTGCAGCAGCGGATCCGCGATGATTGATTCCAT